TGAAGTAGTGCCTATTAATCTTCACGCTGATTTTCCCAATCTTGTGTTTTGAAAACCCTTTCTAAGGCTGCTGTGAATAACTTCTGTGACATTGCGTCACCCTGTCAGGCATCTCTTTCGATTTTGAATTTGCGTATTTTTCTCTCGAAAGGCTTATGCTATCCATTACACTCAGCTTCCAAAAATTGAACTTTTCATTCTTCTGCTAAGATCTGAATTTATAAATCTGTGTAACTAATTGATTACAACTATTTACTTGTCAAATCGGATATCAGAGTCTAACGCATTTCAACGATGCATATCGAACTTTATGACTGCAAGCCCTGGAACGACCCTTTGTAGCATCGTCAGTTCAAACTGTTCGCCTGTTTCGTGCTTGGCTCGCTTTTCAACTAGACACAGGATAGTGAAACTACTTCATTGCTAAAAAATGAAGCATTAAACCCGGCTAATTTGCGTGCAATAACTACTATTACAGTTATTACAGCCTAACCACTAACCTTAATTATAGCCTTAACCTCCGCGTGCAAAAATGCTATGAAAACGTGGCTATAATCGTCTCCAAGAGGACGAAGATCATGCAGGTACCCATCGCAACTTTCAGCCCAAAGATACTATGGAATGATTTCACGTTGGATTAGGTGGACATTTCAGACATCTCGGAACTGTGCTGACTAACGTTGGCAAAATTGACTATACAGTGAATCGGCGTATCAGACTGGCATTAGCGAATTATGGCAAGCTGCATGACATATGAAAGGACTGGACTATAAGAGTGGACGCGAAAATCACCATTTTGTAAGCAGCGGTATTCACCGTGCTCATATACGGTCGTTGCGCAGTCTCGAATGAGGTGTCATGAAGCTAGTTTAAGCAACTTCCAACAGCGTTGACTGTACAGCATCCTCAAAGTGCGATGGAGCCGGCCGGTCACGAACGAACCAGTGATAACCACCACCGGTCTAAGAAAACTGTCGCATCAACTCAGACACCGGAACTTTTCTTGGTTTGGAAAATGGCCCAAAATCACAACGGAAGTATGCTCAAAACCTTTCTCGTTTGGGTACCATGCGTCGGCTGCAGACGCTCTATAGTGCACTACAAAACCTGGCAAAACCTCATTGAGGCAGACCTGCTTGCGGAACGGAACACGACCTTTGTGACAACAGAGAACGTTGCCATATATCAATCTGGGGTACTCTTTCTGGGGTACTCTTTCTCTTTCAGTCACCGTTCTGCTGTTTCAACCCTGTTAAATTCAGACAACGATGATAAAGAGAAAATTGCAGTCATAGCGATCTTTATTTTATTTCCTTAATTTCCATGCCTCATTCATCCGCTCTTTAGATCCTGCTCTTTCCCTCTCAGTAAATAGATGTTCCTTATTTCTTACGTTGACCTCTCTCTTTCGGCATCGTTCCCGTCGAACCTTACCTGATTCGCCTGATTTTCTGTGATGACATCGAGCTGTCTGCCTCCTCCATTCATAACCGATAATGGCTTCTTTGTTGAATGGTATCATCGTCATGTTGATTTTAGGTAGGCGTTGTCGTGCTGCTACGCCTCCAACTGCCAGAAGGCGAGAAGCAAGTTCCTCCATCTTTTACGTGACTCCTGGTGACTTGAGTAACGACCCAGCCGGTACACAGCCCAGTAACGGCGGGACCGTGATGGATAGGTGG